GATAACCTTGCAAGTGGTCGTATTTGGCACAATTTTATATCAAGCTAAGAAATAAAGCGAAACAGTTGTGTTGGGCATAATTGATATCGCGGATTTTTGACGGGAAAAGATCTTTACTGACAGTTTTATGTAATAAGGGAAAAGCGTATGAAATGTCCCTCTTTTGTAGGATTAATTCATAAATAGTATACTTGGTGGGAAATTCTATATGTGGAAAGTAGAGAAGCACATCGAGTACTATTACGAAAAGTTGCCATCACTGTCTGAAGTATGATTTCCCAACTGTAAACACAATTCTCACAAGGAGCTACAAATAGACACGACTGTATACGCATGCACCACTTAAGAAAAAAAAAACGAGTTTGTGATTTTGCTGATAATCACCATGTAGGTAAGATAAATTGACGAACATTGGATAAGAGGAGATGGCTCTATGATCATCCCTCGCCATCAATCTATTATAACCTTTGGTCAAGCTAATTTACTACGAAGATCGCCCTGATTTGTAAAGTATTTTGTCAAGCAGTTGATGAATGTTAATGAAATATGTAAAATCCTGCTATTCTGTATGTTGGCTATATTAAATGTGTTTTTCCTCAAGTTAAAATGAATTGAAAGTGGCAGCTGGTAACTTTTTTAATCACACCATAAAATCTGTAAAAATTGCGATGACAACAACTTCACACGATTGAGCGCAGCAAACGCGACAGTAAATTTGTGATGATGCGCGGATATGTTAGAAAACATCTGTATTGGAGAAGGCACCTTACGTTATGCCTTCTCTGAGTGAGATGAAACTCACTGGGTATCTCACACACAGACTGAGCTATTCAAACTCAAAAACAGGTACTCCAAAGTTACAGTGAATCAGAATTGATAGAAAGCAATCGTCCACCATGCTCAGGTCTGGAAACATATTCACATTCTGCTAATGACACTTCAAGACACTTATTAAAAGGCTTTTCTTTGTTCGATAGCACCAAACATGAGTAAAACATATAAGTGTATTCTATTAGGCTTAGCCATGATTGATAGAAAGTTGCAGCACATTTAACTTCGTCATTCGCTCTAAAGTGACAAATAAAATAATGAAATGCTATATATAGCATAAGCTGATTGGTCAATCATTTGCATTATTAATCACACGAGATATCATCAGCTACCTGATTTACATTATAATGAATGATGAGATGACTATCGTTCATTTTATATCATGAGTTTTACCTTACCAGAACTATTATGTTACAATTTAAAATTACCCTCTAATTATTTTGTACTCGGTATCTATGTGCCCAGTAGAGCTACAAAATACACTTCTTAATGTTTGCAATTAGTCAAACTATAAAAATATACAAGCTCATTTCTCTACTACATATATAAATCCCAATTTCATTGAACAGTTATAAAGCTTTGCAACCGATTAGTTTCTCAAAGTAACTGCTTCAGAACTTCACACAAAGCTACATAAGAGTTATTTGCACATACTCGCCCTTAATTTTAATCTGATAAACTAGAGGGAAGACCATCCATTACCAAGTTTTGGGCTACTATTTACCAAAGAATAGTGGGCTTGACCGTCACATTACAATGCACCCTCGGCCATAAAGTACGAAGCGCATTCTTGTAGCAACGGGTCACGAACCGTGAATTCTCGAATTCACAGACCGGGCAAGCTAACTACTGGGCTATACCCAAGCGAAAAATA